CAATCACATACAATTATATTCATACAAGAAAGCAACATATAATTATCCACTTTCTCGATGAAGTTGTATTTTATTTTACTCTAAAAAATGACATGAGGGAATGACAAATGTAAAAAATTTTACCTGGTTTGATTCATTCAAATTTATTCCACAGCAAAGCTTCTTTAAGTTGAAGATGGAAACATACTGCAATTTTGTTCTATGATGCCAGTTGTTAACTTCTGAAGTTTTTATTAAAATATTTTTATTCTAAGAAGATTGCAGGTGATAAGAACATTGTTGTGAGGGAATGACGCGAAACACTGGGGACAAAGTTTAAAATAGTGCTGTGTTAATATTTTTATCAGAAATTAAATTTAAAATTGATTTTCTGAATTCTATATTTTAGTATTCTGAAATAAAATACACGAATTTGTAAAAATTTTTTTTTTATTTCAGAAACAATTTTTTTCTTTTTTTAAATCAGCAGTGGGGACAAGTGAGGGAATGACAGATTAGTATATTTTAATTACCTAAAATGAATAAAAAATAAAAATTGATAATTTTTTTAAATTCTTTTGTTAGCTTGCATTCTGAAGGACACTTTCCCTGAATTTTTTTTCCGTAAGCTGTAAAACAAACATAAAATATACTGGGGACATGAAAATGACTGTTTTTGTGAGAATGACCCATATATACTATATGATATAGAATAGGGTGTAGAGTCTGTGTATGATATTATCTCCTCCGATTTATGTAATACCAAGTTCTGATTTTTTATCTATTGTATGAGATTATTTAAAGAAGGGCTGCAAGACAGTTTATGCATTAATTAAATTCATGTATTCAGAACAATGCTGCTTAAGGTTAATGCTAAGCCAAAAATCGGAGCGTTCGTGACGGTGAAATTGTTGTTGTTACTTTGCGTTGCACTAGAGCTGCACAATGGGCTATTGGCGACGGTCTGGGAAACATCCCGGAGGATGATCCGAAAACATGCCATCACAATTTTGATCCTCTGCGGAAGGGATGGCACCCCCGCTTCGGTAGCCCGACAACCTGCGCGCGAAGTCGAGCACTTTACGGTAGCACAGTTTAACGAGGACCAATACCGCACACCCTCGGTCCCTACGCAGACTGATCCAAGTGGTCACCCACCCGCACACTGACCGTAGCCAGTGATGCTTGACTTCGGTGATCTGCTGGGAACCGTGTCTTAACGATCAGTCCACTGCGGGACCGTGACGGTGAAACAAAAGTCAAAGAATGTTGAAGTCAAGGGATGAATAGTCGCAAAACGATGCGAGGTGAATCATGCACAATCTGCCGAAGGCAGAAGTATTGACTATTCCAGCGCTTGAATAATACCGAATTTATTTGTATTAAATTTCAACTTGCAAAGTACGGCAAAAAAACCTGGACAAACAATTTTAATATAACTTATAATATTTTATATAAGCAGCATTGAACAGCCGACTCAATTCTGAGTTTACGACAATAATGTGCAAGTCAACTCCGTAACCTTAGAACTTTAAACACAATCCAGAAGACAAGGGAGCTACTGGATCAAGCATTGGACAAACTAGCCTTCGTGGAGAACTTGTTTGAGGGAACGGATTCGCATTTGCGTTACATGGAATGGAAAATCATGAAGTCCTCGAACATTTAGCTTGACGGTAAGAGATTCAAACCCATAATACGCTTACCACTGAGGATTTTTTGTTAAAAATAAATGCATTAACAAAATATAAAAAATAATAACATGACTAGACTTTTACTAATAAATAAATCTAATTGTTTCAAAAAGACCGTCTTTTCAACAATGATGAGGCGCTAATGCTTATTGGAATAATCAGCAATAGACTGTAAATCGTCTACCTTTAATTTATCTCATTCCCGCCGAACTGATTGCTAAGTACAACGATTGTATACAGAGCAAACGAATGATTTCAACCAGTCATTTACCTAGCTTAAACAAGCCTAAAATAGCAGATTTTTTGCTTGACATTCTAAAAAGTCAGAAAACTACAAGTAAGCTAATGGATATATTACAAAATATTTCATAGTAAAAGTGATAGACAAAGAGAAACGAATGCACCATTTTAGAAGAAATAAGTAAACTTCTAGGATGCAATAACTTTGCTGAATTTTTTCTTCTTCTTTTTTTTGCCGCGCGTTGTAGAATAAACATGGAGGCATAGTTAATGAAGGTCGATATTATGGTCATTGAAGTGTGATAGCATATTAATTCAAACAATAAAGAATAAAGTGGTCCCAATATCTAAGCATTAAATTTAAAATTTTATAGGAAATGCAATACTATAAATCCTAGGTCATTTCTCTTTTTCCTTCTTGTTTTTTTTTAAAAATTGTTTTATTATTAATTCTACTAAAATTAAGTCGACATTGTATGTTACAGATTAATTTAAAAAAATGTTTGTTGCGAAATCTTATCTGCACTTGAGAGGGAAAAAGTGACATATCTTTAAAAAAAAAATTACGAACAAATTATCATAATACACTGGTTATCATAAATTAAGGAAAAATCACAAAAATAGCGATAACTCTTTCAAAAGTAAGCCAAACCGTGCAAAATTTGCATATGTTGTCCACTAAGAGTAGCTGAGTAAAATTGCAATATGCAAATTAGTGGCGCTGCACTCGGCTTACGTCATCTGCCTGGAGCATAAAAGTCCAAGTTTGAGAGAAAGCACACAAATTTTACTGTGATTGCGACATTGAAAATCTGAGATAGCCAATTCGTAATAATGACCTCTAGGCATCATTTGCCTGAAGAACTACGATGGAGAGCCATCGGGAGACTAGAGGCAGGGCAGAGTCAATCAGAAGTGGCCAGATGGCTAAATGTGAGTCCATCTGTGGTTCATAGACTTTGGAGGCAATTTCAAACCACAGATTCGGCATCTAGGAGGTTCAGTCAAGGACGGCCAACTGTTACGACCAGTGCCGATGACCGATATTTGACATTAAGTGCACGCAGGAATAGAACCGCTACTCCGACACATCTTAGATCCTCTCTTGCTGCAGCCACCGGAAGGTTGGTGTCAACGTCAACTGTGCGCAGAAGGCTCCACGAAGGTGGTCTGTATGCGAGACGACCAGCCATTTGCGTGCCGCTCACATCACGCCATAGGAGAGACCGTTTGCAGTGGGCCCGACAACATGTCCACTGGACGTCAGATCAATGGAGGCCTGTTCTCTTTACGGATGAGTCCAGGTTTAGTCTAGAAAGTGACAGTAGACGTTATTTGATATGGAGAGAACCTGGGACCCGTTATCATCCATCAAACATCCGTGAAAGAGATGCATACGGAAGAGGCAGTGTCTGTGTTTGGGGAGGCATATCCTTAGGAGGGCGCACATACCTCCATGTCTTTCCAAGGGGAACCGTGAATGCTCAGGTTTATCGAGACAACATCCTTGATGCTTATGTGCGCCCATATGCCGGGGCAATTGGTGATTGCTTCCTGTTACAGGACGATAATGCAAGACCACACAGAGCTCGCATTGTTGATGATTATCTTCAACAGGAAACAATTACTCGCATGGAGTGGCCAGCTCGATCCCCGGACTTGAATCCTATCGAGCACGTTTGGGATGCTCTAGGGAGGCGTGTATCTGCCATCAATCCGCCCCCTCAGACCCTTGCCACGCTTGCAACTGCTTTACAAGAGCAATGGCTCTCACTTCCTATTGAACTGATAGACCGCATAATTGAAAGCATCACACATCGCTGTTTGTGCTGTATTGCTTCTAGAGGCAATCATATTCCATATTAAAGGTACTTTTTCTATTGCAAACCGATACTTCCAATTTGTTTATTTTATACATGTGCTAATTTCTATACTACTATTAATGTCTGATAATTTCTTTTTATGTTGTTTAATACCTTACTATGTGTTGTATATTGTGGGTAAGTTTCATAAAATTCCATGTGTAATTTCTTGAGTTATCGCGATTTTTGTGAATTTTCCTTAATTTATGATAACCAGTGTATATAAATATTAAAAAAAAACCCATTTCTCAATATTATTTGCTTATTTTTTGAGCTAAAAAATAAAACACGAAATGGTTTTTGAATTGACGAAGAATATAAATAATTGAATAATAATATAAAAAAGTAATTAAATATTTTTTACCTGTAAAGTATACTTTATATTTAACTGTATTTACATTTATTTATTCTTTTCAATATTATTCTTTTCAAGTTATTACGTTTATGATTTTGATTATTTAAGGTAAAGTTTAAAACTAAAAGCTTCTTATTAAGTAATCCGCTAATATCACCTTTTTACTCACCATTTTACGATAAACATATTTGAAAAGGTATCTAACTTATTAACCATTTTATAATTATTCAACAATAAACAAGTTATATTTTTTCGTAATACTCTCGAATTAAAAATATGTCCAATCAACATACACAATTGAAATATTGATTACAAAATTGTAAAATGTTAATAGGAATTTACATTTCGCATTATTACTTACTAATTCCTTTCGAGAAAAACATTTAACGAGTTTTTATAGTTTTCAAAATAAAATAGAATTATTAGTAATTGAACAATTTTATTAGCTTTAAATTTCATTCAAATAACAAAATCTTCGGAAACAAATCTGCGTTAATACAATAAACAATTAGGGATTTATTAGACTGAGAAATTTTAAAGTTTGATGTATCCATCGCTCAGAAATAAAAACTATTGTGTAGTTATTGTGAATTTTTGTAAGTGAAGTCCCCGAATATACTCAATAAAAATATGCATTTTTAATTTTACAAGCTACACGTTTTAAGCTTGATCTTATTAAATAAATTGTGTCAAAGGTAATAAACAAATGACTGATAATGTAAAAATATCTTAATTCAATATTCAATAGGTTCAATTAATTATCTTATATCTGACTATATTTCTCAATCAAAAGTTTGAAAATTTTTAAGATTCAAATAAATATCTTTTTAAAATAAAAAAGAAGCTTAAAAAATACATTAAATAACATACCATTATTTTCAAACCAACAGATCATCTTATCTTTATCTAGCATTGATTTCACTCTTATTGAAATATCATCTTTGACGTTTTTGCCATTTATATTATGAGTGGACTTGACACATAAAAATCAAAATACTTCTGTTTCGCTTCGACCGAAGTTGTTCTGACAACGTTAAATTCTTTTGGCTCCATACGAATTACTAAGGCATGCAGGTCAATACGTGGACAAACAATAGGGTAATCTCAATTCATTGATAAGATCTCACATAAAAGTTCTAGAACATTGAAGAAAAAAAAATAAACACAGACCATCTTCTCAGACCCATTGCATTGTATACAATTGCCTCATATAATGTAACACAATTATGAAGGTCTGCTTAAGGAAGGTGCTACTAGGGCTGAAGTAGTCCTAGGCCTCGTACTACAGAAGGGCTTCCGAAGAGTCCCAGATGAAAAGTGATGATTAAAAGAAAGCTGTCACTAACAAAATAAAACTAAATAAATCTTTTTGAAAACTACTACCCCTAATTTGGTATTTTTTGATAAAGAAAAGTAAAAAAATCTTGCATTTTAGGTAAATTTTTATTTGTTTATTTTTGAAAATAATTTTTTTAGGGGAAAAAACGGAAAGAGGAAAATGTACAGATCACAGTGTTTGCTCTGGCTATGCTATAGTGGAAAGAAAACAGTGGTAGAAACAAAGCTTTGTTTGCAAATTATTATGAAATTTTAAATGCATTAGAAAAAATGTTTATCACATAGTCCTTAATGAGAGCTTAAGGTTCAAAACAGTTTACTTATAAAAAATTGCAATCAATTAAGAGAAAGGCTTTATAATTTGATCTTATTTAAAATGGTTTCTGTTACGTTGTAAAAATTATGAAAGTTCTTATTTTAATAACATGTACTATTTCACAAATTTGAAAAGCATGCAGACAAATAACTTTAACACCAATATTTTGGTTTATATTTTTCAGATAAGCATACTGTTTGTATAATTTCCATGTCTTATATGTTAAAGAAAATTTCACTATTACTAAATAACAAAAAACACTCTTTTTTTTAAAAAAATTTCAGTTTTGTATTCTTTTTCGAAATTTCCATTATACTTATTACAAAATATTACATTTTATTAGTTTGAAAATTATAGTAGTAACTATTAAGGGGACCAGTTCAGATAAATTTTTGTCGAGTTTTAATTTTTAATCAATTATGTTATCGTCTTCTTAAACAACATTTCACCATTTTGTGTGCAAATTTTCCAACCTGATCTATAAAAATCAATTATTTTTTGAATGAATTATCTGGAGATTTCATTTTTCCACCTTCCAAACCTTTAAATATTTTGCATCTATAAGAATGTTTTAGATATCACAATAAAACCAAAACTTGACTGCTCAATATCAGGTGAGTATGGTGGGTGAGGCAATGCCTTCCACCATGATTCATCAGTTTTTTTACCGCATTTGGCACTCCTGGTAGTTACTCTAAGAAAGAAATATATTATCGAAACTACCAGAATACAATAAAATTTACCTTTGTCTCTGGCTCTATAGGAACGCCAAAAGCACGGTAATTTTTATAGAACTGTTTTCGTAATGACTTTTGGTAAAACTAACAATAAAATACGGTTTATTGCTATGCCGTTTGGAAATAAATGGGGTGAAATTTAGTTGTTTGAGATGGCGCAAAAACTTTCAGTTTACTAACCTCTATTTTATTTAGTAAACATTTCTTAAATCATCGATGATTTGTTTTTATGCTTATATAATCTCAGCTAACATCCAAAAATACTTTATTGTTGCTGTTGTTGTTAATTTATGTCACACTAGAGCTGCACAATGGGCTATTGGCGACGGTCTGGGAAACATCCCGGAGGATGATCCGAAGACATACCATCACAATTTTGATTCTCTGCGGAGGGTATGGCACCCCCCGCTTCGGTAGCCCGACGACCTGTGCGCGAAGTTTAACGAGAACTAATACCGCACACCCTCGGTCCCTACGCAGACTGATCCAAGTGGTCACTCACCCGCACACTGACCGTAGCCAGTGATGCTTGACTTCGGTGATCTGCTGGGAACCGTGTGTTAACGATCAGTCCACTGCGGAACAACAATTCGCGATCGCAACGCTCGAGTACGCCGTCTAGCGGGAGCCTGTAAATATCAGACATTAATTTATCACGTTTTCATTTAGTTCCATCAAAATCATTGACTGAATCAGACGCCATTTTTTAGCAGCAAATAAGAAACAAAATTTCCCTAAGGAAAAGGCCGAAGAACTTGAAAAAAATCTCCAGAATATTAGTAAATCTTTCAGGAACAGAACACGCCAAACATTTGAAGAAAAATTCCTCAATAATTTTTAATTTCTATTATCAACAAACTTGCAACTGATGACTTCCGATTTCGGATACTGTTACAGATGTGTGTATTAAGGTAAAATGCATTTCTTCTGTCTTCAATTCATTACGAATTAAAGTGAAGTCAACATTGCTTTCGTCATTCCAGTGAATAAATATGAATTCAGAACATACAGAATTGTAATAGTTATAGCATATTCTTCTTCGTTATAGAATAGTATATATTTCTGTATCCATATAATTCGGAAAACAACAATAAAAAATTATCCAAGTTACTTGAAATAGTGCCATTTGTGCTGATTCTTAATTAATTTAAATCGTTTTCTTGGTAAGTTTTTTTTAATTTTGAAAGAATAAGTTCAACTAGAATTCAGCTATTCTGTTTTTAGCTACATATTCAAATTCATATCAATTATAAAATTTTGCTGTGTAGTATGTTATCTAAAAGTAATGAAGGTATAAACTATGTATCTATTATTTGAGAATAAAGTTTTCAAACAAGGAACTTATCATTTTGGAATTCTCCGGGAATCATAAATCAGGTAAGTGCAATGATTTTTACAATAAAAAATTTGCTTGTAAATATTTTTTTTTCATTTGATGATGGTTCTCTACAGAATGGTTTTTTACGTCTGATTAAGAACTATAAGAATAATAAAAAAAGAAACAATATGAAAGTTTTTATTTCAATGTAAAGAATTCTTAAAATCTTTTTTTTATCCTAAGAATTCTTTATTTTCCGTTTTTTAGTTTATAATTTTTTGATAAAAATTGTTCTCAAAATACTTTTTTTGAAAAATTAAATGGTATAACATTATGTGTTTATGTATACTTCTTGTATATTCCAATGTTTGAAGTAATATGATTCAGAAAAGTATGGAATAAAAATTCGGTACTTACGTATTAACGCCACCGCCGCTACAGATTTGGCGGTTTTTAAGTGCCGCCAATCTACACTTAAAATTTTTGCGACAATTCATAAAATAAAACACTTTATTTAAAATCAAAATAGTCAATCGGATTTCGGTGGAAAATGAGCCGATATAGAGTTTAGCATAGATTCAAAACAATCATATCGCCATATGAACTCTGATAAATAAGATTCCAAATGAAATAACATTTCCAAAACGTACGTTTACCAAGATAAAGTTTTATGTTGTGGGAATTGGTACATTTTCGTTTTTTCGGTAAAATATTTCCCTCCTGAAAAAATAAAATTGCATCTTGTTTTGTTTTTGGCAAATCCCAAAGACGAATTTTCGTAGCACTAAAAATGGCGACAAAAAAGAATTGTTTTTTTGTTTTTGTTTCGTCAGCATTCTTTATTTTACGTTTCTTAGTTTCTAAATAATGATTTTTATTGAAACTTGAAATTTTTTGATAAAAATTGTTGTCAAAAAACTTTGTTTACAAAATTAAATTTCATAAAATTATGAGGCTTATGTATACTTTTTGTTCATTTTAATTTTTGAAGTAATATGATTCTTAAAACTATAGAATGTAAAGTTTAAATGGGCCTTTCATGTTATATCATTAAATTTAGTAATACTATTTCTCGGGCATTAGGTTTTAACTCTTATAAGAATATACATATTTTTTTCTGTTAATGTACAAATATTTTTCCGATGTGTTTTGGATATTCCTTCTCTAATAAAAAGAGATACCATTTTGTTTTCGTTTGCATAAGAAAGAATATCAAGCATTTTTCTTTTTTAAATTTAATTAGCCACAATAAAGAAGGAACGTTGCAATGCTACGTGCTACATTAACGACGTCTCTAGAGTAACTGAATGACTGTTCATATAGAAATCGCAGGTATTAGTCTCATACAACAACGCCCCCTATAGTTCGTTGCGATCGCGAATACTTTAAAACTATAAAATAAATGTGTATTTGTAAATATAAAAATGCCAAGACAAGGAAAAACTAAATCAGAAGCTTAACTGTTCCAACATCCTGAAATGGAAGCGTAGAGGTAGCGGGTTTGAGACCCACCGCAACCATGGAAGTAATTATTTATTTATATTTTTTAATTATATTAATTATTTATTGTTACACAGATATATGCAGGTTTGCATTCTCATTACAAAGTTTGGCTTATAAGTACTTGTCAAGTCGAAATACAAAAGCAAAAGATAGAGAAAGAGATCACAACCATATATCCACGGGTATGGAAGGATTCGAACTCGTTACCTGCAAGCTACATTGGATGCATTTTTGTAATGTCTTTATCTAACTAAAAATATATTGGATAAAGATTTAGTTGAATCATAAAAGTGTAGTAGTTTGTTCAACTTGTATCTACTAAAAATATAATTTGAAATTATTTATTGATATGCAATATTTCAGCTGAATCACTATTTTATTTTCAGATTTAATAATGTGTTGAAGGAAAATTTACCATTTTCAATTTAAAGAATTAAAATGTTTGAACAGAACACAATCAGCATTTATTAAATAAACAAGTTAGCTCTTTATTAAATATAGATCTGCACAACTTCTATTATGGATGATAATTTCATTTGCACTTAATTTTATGAGGTTAAATGTTTGGTAACTAAAGATGCAAAAGAAACTGCATTCCATACACTAATATTTTAATTAATCAGAAATGTCCGATAGGATTAACGGTAAAGGTAGCTTGCGAAACGATACGCGTTCTGACTTGTTTATTTCTCATTTTCACTAAAACGGATTATCTCTATAATGGATTTAAAACGTTATGGCTTTAACACCAATGTCTTAAAAAAATGTTTCTTTTTTTAAATGATAATAGCATTCAACTGATTACTTACTAATCATGGGTAGAAATCACTAACATTCTGATGGCTGAAATTTTAAAATTACCATAGTTATATTTCTCAAAAATTTATTTTTTATTTATGTAATTGCAGCATAATGTTATTAAAATAATAAAAATTATGTTGT